GGGGTAGAGGGGGTGGAGGGGCTGGGTTCAGGGGTCAGGGGTCAGGGGTCGGTGTGTGACTTTGACAAGTTCTGACGATGTGTGCCCCGGCACATCCCCCCTTTATGGCCACCCCTGCCCACTCCCTCGGGTAGGCAACATTTTTCAATTAACAAACGAACGAAAAATGTATGACATGCCACACATAGATACTCACTAATACTGCCATGGCAGCCACTCGACATGAGAAACGGTGCCAGGCACCTCCGCCCCAACACGCCCCTCCGCCCACTCGGGGGGGGTGGGGGGAGTGGGGTGGCCCCTTTCGACCTGATACACATCATTTTTCATAGGCTTTCAGCCATTTCCCCCGCTTTCCCACCACCGCAGCGCTTCGAATCAAAGCGCCAAAAACGTCCTGTCGAAAAGGGAAAAAAGTGGTGTGTGGGGGGTTCAGAGGGTATCTAACTAACTAACTAACTAACTAACAGTCAGCCGACGAAGACAAGGGAAAATCACACCGTTCGCAGCTCGAAGAGGGGAATACCCTGGAGTTTTACACCAAAAACAGTTAAAAATTCATTTTCGAAAATTTCGAACCCCATAACTCGCTATTAAAATGAAATGTAAATGTTTTATTTTATATTATTTAAATTTTTTTTTATGTATATATTTTTGATTTCTGTACAAAACCAAAAATTGAACGTAAATGCACAATTCTAGTTTTGAAAATCAAAAAATTACATAATTTGTAATTTCGATTTTGAAGAATGTCCTGCAACATGACGATAGGGTATCATAAGGACGGATTATACGTGTATATAAACCTCTATATATATATGGGGATTTGTCTGGGCGCCTGTGTGTTGTACTTGTGTCATTCGTTTCGCCTTGGCAAAATGACAAGCGAAATGTTTGCTGCCACAAAATTTCATTTAGAAAAAGGGTTATTAATAATATCAAATTTGACGCTGGGCGGCCATTATATGGAGGACCTCTCACACGGCTCCCCCTCGTCCTTTGTCTCTTTTTCGGGCCGTGTCCTGGGTTGTCCTTTTGGGCGTTTTGTGGCGCGCTAAACACCTGCTATTTTATGATTTTATTAGGCACTCAACACGCCACACGAAAAGGCTGTTGGTCTAACTTGACGTGTGGAAAACTAACTTCCCTCGATGGATGGTTCGTGTTCACTGGCAAACAGGTAAAAGGATCTGGCAAAACAGAAGAAGATATTGAACGGCCTTTATGGAATATAATTATTATTTTTGCTTATAAACTTAAAACCACGAGCTGATCATACATTTTCAATTGTTTTATACAATAAAATATTCCAAAGGCGTCCTTTAAAACTATACAATTAAAGATTATTAATTGTGATAATAAAATGTATTAAATGGTTACATTTGTCATTTAAATAAAAAAATATATTTTACAAGCTATTATAAAATACCTGCATTATTTTACGGTTTATAAATAAGTGTTATGTTTTAAAATTAATTAAAGCTTTTATTGAAAATATCTATTAAATTATAAATATGTATATATGTGTATATAATTATTATTACATTTGTTGACTCCGAAAGTACCATTTAATTGTTCTTAAATAATGTCAACAAAGTTAAAGCAATTAAATAATGTTCTATACCTTTTGGGTAAAGTGTAGGTCTTGTTTCTTAAATTTGAAATTTTATTTCCAACACATATTTAGGCAAATCAATTTTCTAAGTCTGCAAAACACCGGCCTTCCCATTTTCCCACTTCGATTTTCCTTCCCCCAGAATTTCCCCTCAAAATAACTTGCCAAAAACTGACAGGAAAACCGGCGGTCAAGTGTTTTAAAGGCCAAAAGTATCACTATGCCCATGTCCGATTGTGTACCATTTCCCGGGCGTCGAGGGGAAGGGGGCGTGGCAGGGTGTGCCACCGAGCAGCGGTTGTATAAACGTTTTCTCATAAATAAACTGCCAAACATAAAATATGCATACGAATGCTGGCCTCACTCACTCACACAAAAGGCGCAGTTCGCACACTGGCACATGAATTTAAATTGATTCAACTCACACAGACACGGTACACTCAGCGAAACAAGAGGGACGACCAGAAAACAAAAGCCGCCGAATAAATAATGCGACCACTGGCCAAACTTCGAAAAATCCCTGTAAAAGCTTTGCCAATTTTCATGTAATTAACACGAAGAAAATAAGGAAATTAAGAATTTAAGAAGCAAACAATCGTTAAACAAAGAAAAACAATTGGGAATGACAATGAGAACGATAAAAACGAATTTTATATGCCCAAGCAGTTGTTTTATAGCCAACAAGTAAATTTGGCTCAATTAAACGATCTCTGCGATTCTCCTCCTTTTTCGTGCTCTGCGTTTTCCAATTTTCAGTTTTCAAGAACTCCAAAAATGAGTGTCATTATTGGACAAAATAAAAGATTGCGAAACCACAGATTTTTGTTGCGTATTCTATTATACATTTTATTTCTATTTCCATTTTTTTATGTACTGATTATAAGCTTTTTGCTGAGGCAACGGGAACTAGAAGATTGCTGATAAGAGGCTGCGTTTTTCCAAAAAGTAAGTGGCCTTTTAGGTCATCCATCCGGAGTGTGTTTTGTTTTAAGAATGATAATTAAAAATTAATTAAAAATTAATTAAAAATTGTTTAAGAAAGCTTTGTTGTTGGTAGCAACAATAAGTTTATTAAAAAAGTTCAATTTATAGTAGTTCTACAGTACTGACAAAATATTATATTGTTACAATTCCTTGTTTGTATTTTGTTTGCCAATAATTAATCTGTTTCCGTGCTGAAATGCGATTACTTGCTTTATATAAAAACATACAGCTAATATAAAGAATACGGCTTTATTGTGTAAATTGGTTCTGCCAAAACAGCAGACACAGCATATTAAAAAAAAACATACCAAGCAAATCCAAAGGAACCGGAACACAAAATCAACGACACGGAATAAGTGCTCTCCTCCTGCTTTTCCTTTCACCTAATTAATTTCCAACTTTTCCAACAAATTTCGCTCGAAATTATAATGATTTTTGCTGGTAAAAATTTCCGGGCCATAAAAAGCGAGCATATTCAAAACAAAGCCAATAAAAGAAACTTCCCGGAACCCAGCGATGATTTCCTTGGAGACAAATTAGCAAAAGCAGTTGACACACGCACACCGCAAATGTTTTTTGCGGCGTTTTCTTCGGGTTTCTTTTGGTCAAACATTAATAAATTTGCCAACACTGGGAATTTTCCTTTGGCTTTTTCCACCCCGCAGGAAGTTCAGGTCAAAATGTTGCCACAGACAATTTGGCATTTGTCTTTATTAAAGTGCCCGTGCGAATGTGAGTGTGGAAATCTTTTCTTTCACCGGAAGTAGTGGAAATTCCGCAGGTCGGGGTTTTCGGGTATTTTCGCCAACTGATGATTGTCTGGGTTGAAAGTCTTTAAGGTCCGGAAAAGAAATGTATTTTAAGGCAGACTTTGAATATTTTAAATATATTAAAATACTAATATCTCAGTTGACTTGCTTCTCACTTAAAAAATATTTATGGAATAAAAGAAACAAAGTTAAAGTTTTAAACTACTTATGTCTTACTCTTGTAATAACTCTTTGCATTTGATTTAGATTATGTTTAAGAATTTATATCACATAAATGTTGTATATCTTAACACACATGAATACGAGTATAAAAAAAACTTTTGCAAGTATATAAAACGTTCGTTGTTATTGTAATAATTAAACAAATATAAAATATGTTTTTACTGGAAATACATCTAATTAACATAAAAGCATCGTACAATTACCACTTCATAAATGTTCTCTAAAAATACACTGTTTCTGACATTGCTTCGGGGTTTTTTGAGCAAGAAATGGTTTTATATTTCAGCTCATTAAATTAGCGGAAATTCGAGGAATTTTGTGGCACACATGCGTAACTAATTTGGATTTGGTTAAAAACTAACCAGAGATAAAAAGTACAAAAATTTAGACAAAAGCGGGGTGTAAGAACAGGTATCCATGTATATAAATGAGTTGGCTCAAGGACGTGGGTTGGGAGGGGGGAAGGGTGAGGCAGGGGGGGGGGGAAGGGATCCTAGCAGGTGGAAGACGATTTAATGCATACAAAATGATTTACACGCCGCTGGCCAAAGATAATACGAGAGTTGGTGGGTGAAGAGAGTGGGGGGGGGGATGGGGGTCTGGGTCTAAGGATGCACGCATGTGTGTCGCCCCCTTCCCCAGAAAACACCCAAGCCCACACCCTTCTACAGCAGCTATCTACTGGGGCTCAGTTTTTGCTTGGCTAGCAGTTGCACACCACCCCCATCATAACCCCTTGGAGCCCCCTCTAGCCACCATATCAACATCACACCCCCCCTTCCCACCTGCCACTTCATCCCCCCCCCGCTCCCCAACCATATCCCTTTTTTTAGTGGCCGCCAGCAAGGCTCTGCTTCATATAATCAGGCAGCGCTGAAAAGTATGCTACACTCTTTGCCCCCAATCACTACACTCGCAAAACTTTAATCGAAATAATGCATTGAAAAATGCACTACATATCCAGAGAAATAACCTTAATCCTTTAAAAATGTATTAGTACAGTCTTTGGCAAAAACACGGTATTCTTTAATCTAAAATAAATATCATTAACATAATATATATTTATTAATATTAATCATAGCAAAGTAATATTTTAGCAAATCATAACATCTCCCAAATATTCTCCTCACTCTGCTTTCAGCTAGCCAAAGAATCAATATCCAATAAAACCGAATTTGATGAGTGCGTCTGCGTATATTATTCCTGATCCGCGAAAATACTCTAAGTTTAATATTTAATATATTTTGTAATATTTAATCTAGAACCGGAGAATGATCTTCAGCAGCAACTGTTTGTGCTTATCTGTACGCAGATATATTTTTAGCCGCCCTCTTCCAATGTTTAACTTGACTCAACAACAGTACAGCATAAATTTTGTATTTTCATATTTCATATTTTAACAGTGCTATTTATAAAGACTTGGGCCTTATCAGCATTTCAGTGAACGTTAGTGATATCTCCCAGTCGTTGTTATGCCATGAGCCCCAATGAATTCCACCATAACCTTTGCCTTCTTTCGAGTATTTTCCATTGAGCGAACTGTAATTTAAAGTGATTATAGTAGGAAGATTTAAGCAGAGCATAAATAAACAGGTATACCCGAATGAACAGTTATTGTGCCACCATCCACCAAAAGAAATGGGACAATTTCCTTTATGATTGTCATTATCCCGATCAAATGTGGAGAACTTTTGGTTCTTACTGGCTGAAAGGGAGTCTCCGGCTTCACCAGAATATTTCCCTAGATTCTTCAACTCGTAGCCTTCCTCCTCACTTCCAATCTTAAAATCATCGTATTGAGCGTAACTGGTGGATCCATCAACCTTCCCAAGTTTAATGTAGAGTTCGTGGGGTCGTGCCTCAGTCATCCGATGCAATTTTTCCAGCCCGATAAAGAATTCTCCACTGACATTCCCAAATCCAGATTTATAGTCATTCCAGTTTCTCTTGAAGTTCTCGGATCCGTCAATGCGTCTCTGAATTACAGTCCAACCAGAGGGAGACGACACACAGGACACTTTAAAGGGTTCAAGACCCCGAACCTTTATTTGGTAAATCCCATTGGGACTGCCATTAGGACAAGAGTCAGGTAAATTGTCATCAGTTTTCTGCAATTCAGAAAGCTGACTAGATAGTTCTGATTTTGTTTTCTCAATCGCTTTAATTTGAGTCCTAAAGTCCGAGATTTGTTCATCTCTATTTTTAAGGTGTTCATGCTGGCTTTTGATTTGCTCCTCTTTCACTTTTAAAATATCTTCTTTTAATTTGGTTTGGCCTTCGGATATTTTTAACTTGTCATCAATTTTCCTTAATTCCGAAAGCTGACTAGAAAGTTCTGATTTGGTTTTCTCAATCGCTTTAATTTGAGTCCTTAAGTCCGCCAATTGTTCATCTTTATTTTTAAGGTGTTCATGCTGGCTTTTGATTTGCTCCTCTTTCACCTTTAAAATATCTTCTTTGCTTTTGATTTGACCTTCGTATATTTATACCCTTGCAGAGGGTATTATAATTTTGGTCAAAAGTGTGCAACGCAGTGAAGGAGACATCTCCGACCCTATAAAGTATATATATTCTTGATCAGGATCACCTCCTGAGTTGATATAGCCATGTCCGTCTGTCCGTCTGTCCGTCTGTCCGTCTGTCCGTCTGTCTGTCCGTCTGTCTGTTTCTACGCGAACTAGTCTCTCAGTTTTAAAGATATCGAATTGAAACTTTGCACACACCCTTCTTTCCTTTGCACGCAGTATATAAGTCGGAACGGCCGGGATCGGCCGACTATATCCTATAGCTGCCATATAACTGATTGATCGGAAATGCCATAACTCTGCTGTTTGTTAAGTTAGGAAGTTGGGACTCTCTATGGGTATTATATTTGGCCAATCAATCCGACGTACCAAATTTCATAAGGATCGGCCGACTATATCCTATAGCTGCTATATAACTGATTGATCGGAAATGCCATAACTTTGGTGTTTGTATAGTTAGGAAGTTGGGATTTTCTATGGGTTTAATATTTGGCCAATTAATCCGACCTACCAAATTTCATGATCGGCCGACTATATCTTATAGCTGCCATATAACTGATTGATCGGAAATGCCATAACTTTAGTGTTTGTTAAGTTAGGAAGTTGGGATTTTCTATGGGTTTTATTTTTGCCCAATCAATCCGACATATCAAATTTCATAAGGATCGGCCGACTATATTCTATAGCTGCCATATAACTGAACGATTGGAAATGCAATAACTTTGGTGTTTTTAAAGTTAGGAAGTTGGGATTTTGTATGAATATTAAGAATGCATCATATGAATAATTTTGGAGAATATAATTTGCAGAATATTCTGCAAGGGTATTTCAACTTCGGCTCCGCCCGAAGTTAGCTTTCCTTTCTTGTTTTAACTGACTTTGCAAGTCTTTTATTGTATCTTTCAAAGTAGTTACTTGGGTTTTAAGTTCATCGTTGGCATTGGCTGTTATTTTGATCTGTACAAAATAATTTAGAATAGGCGATAAAATAGTAATCATTGCATTCGTTTTCCATATTCTAATAAGTTGATTACTGTAGTAAATATAAATACCAAAAAAAATCGTACAACTTTTAAATACGCCGAGAAATAGCAGCGTCAATTCGAAACTAAAATAAATGCTAGGAAATAAATTTGAATATTACCTCATAGAGCTCTACACAAATCAATAGCATAATTGCCCATTAAATGGCTGCATAAACTCTTACTTTTGTGCTTTCTGTAGATGCAATTTACATATAATCAGAGATAAGCACTTCTGATAGGAACGCGAAAGGATGTCTGTCTATCCGTAACTCACCGACTTAAGTTGTTCCTCCGTTCTGTCCAATCTCGAATCCAGCTTGGTCTGCAGAGCCTTAATTGAATTCGCGAAGTCTTCTTTTGTGATGATCTTGCTCACGGATTCCTGAAGCCCAGTGTGCTGGCCCTCCACTTTCTTCCCAAGTTCCTGAAATTGGTTCTTCATTTCAGATTTCACCGCCATATGTTGTTCTTCCGCCAACTTGAATCTCGAATCGAGTCCGACCTGCAGATCCTCTTGTCCTTGCAACGTGGCCATCCTAAAGGAATCCTTAAGGGCTGTCTGCCCTGCCTTGATTTCATCCAACGTCATTTGCATATTGTAAGTATCTTCGAATATCGGGTTGAGTGCGGCCAGGCAAAAGGAGCTACACTGCCTTGGTTCATCTTGGAGAACGCACAACTGATCCTTTGAATTGAACCCAATTCCTGCTTGTACACTTGGAAAGATTAATAAGCCAAGCAAGTAGGACAGTAGTCTCAACATTTTAAGATGTTCCATCTACTCAAATCGAATTCAAAAAATATACTGAAATGTAGCTATTAGTTGAAGAAACAACGAAGCCTAAAATATTAGAAAATAGTAAGGGGCCTTCCTAATCTCTATCCGTCGTCCAACAATTGGAAAAAACCAAATCACCAAATATGTGTATGTATGTACTAGCATATAAATATAAATGAGATAATGTTCTAAATTAACACTGATCTTTGGCTTCGCAAATGTATTGATAATTTCCAGAACTGAGCCATCCCAATTCCAATGACTCATTCGGATGATAAGAATACAATTGCTGAATCAGGGGAATTTTAAAGAGCATTTTTAAGTCTTTTGATTAACGACCCAAAACTATTCCTGTTAAGTGCATAATTTAAAAATTGTTTGGGCCCAGAAACAAGATTAATTTTACTCCTATTAGTTTGCTATGAATATACCTACTAATTTAATTTTAAAGTACATAATAATTGCTGTTTAACTGATTTGCGAGGCATAATTTTATCAAATAAAATTGAGATCAACAAATTTTTAAAATTGAACTACATTTTTTATTTAAGTGCACAAATGACTACCTCTCGCTCCTTTACGCTCTGCCAGCTTGCATTTCAAAGCCAGGAGCCTGACAGGCCATCAAGCTGAAATCTCTGATGATACGAAATCAGCATAAACAACAACAACTACAACAAAAACAACAACAACAAGAGCAACAGGGGCGTATTGCCAAGAAGGGAAAAAAGGGGTTAAGGAGGGACTGCGTTTATGGCACAAAAGCAACTGCAAATAGGGTTAACAGCCAGTGCAATTTTCATATTACCAGGCTTTCGAAAAACTGCAGGCGATTTTAACCAGCCCGCACCCTACCCCTCTTTATCCACCCACCCCCCTTAACCCCTTGTTGGCATAGAGTTCGTTGAACGCATTTCGAGCGGGGAAAAAAATGGTTTAAAGACTTCCACCGAACGCTGCACATGAAACATGAAAATGTCCTTAGCCAATTATAGATTATAGCTCGCACACCAAGCTTTTGGAGTGATGATCATTTTTAGAGCGATTTCCTAGGTTAAACTATTTTTAATAACCAGAAAATAAGAATAAGCTGACAAATCATTTTACAAATTTAGAAAGTCATTTTTATTATGCAATCTTTATCATTTCACATTGCCTCTACATCCCTTTTAAAATTTGTACAATATCCTTTATATAATGAAATTCTTTTTCTTTTAAAATTGTTTTGCTGCCATTGTGTCTACACCTTTAACATTTTTGTATATAATTCTTTAATTCAAAACTATTTGACTTAATGCCTCTTTAAAGTATGGTGGGTTTTATTATTGACACAAAGAAGAAACAATTCAAAAACACAGTGCATGAATAGGAGACACAAATGGGGACTCGAGTGATTTGACCAGAATTGCAGGCTGCCAAAATCCCCTGCCCTTCGCCCCCTTTTCCATCCACCCCTCCCCCTACTTTCTACAAACTACGAGAATGGAAATGCGAAATTGACAAAGCCAAAATGCTTTATATAAGCACATATTGCTTAGACCCATTTGCTATGGAGAAGAAGCAGAAGTCAAGTAAGATGTTTCATAGCCAAGTGATAGAGATAGAAGAGAAACAAGACAGAGAGAGATAGTAGTATAAAGCAGGAAAGAGATGAAGGGAGCGAGGGAGCAAGGCGGAATATGCCATTAAATCTCTTTAGAACTCAATTCTTATTCCCAACGCAATTTATACAACAAAATTTCAGACACAGTCGCACACACATGCAATCCACACATATGCAACTCACACAGACACACTCAGCAAGCAAAAGTTCTAAGAAACGTTAAGAAACTCATTGAAAGATGCACCTGAAATACTCTCATTGCAATTATATTTATTTTAATTCAATTTCGAAATAAAACATTTAAAAAAAATTAAGTTAACTTCAATATAGATTTTCTACTTTAAACTTTTAAGATCTAAAAATTATGTTCAAGAGCAAAGCAAGATAAATTACTCAATTACAAATTATTATATTAATGAAATATATATAGAGCTTTAATATTTGTACTATGTTTCTAGATAATTTAAATGTCTTAAAAAATACTACAAATAAAGTGTAAGTTTTTTTCATTGTTTTTTAATCATACAATTTTATGTAAAATATTTGTAATTTTTTTTTTTTTTGGGACTTGTCTTTCTTTTACATTTGGTTATTATTTAACGATATTATCAACGTCCTTTTAGCCTAAAAAATATTTTTATTATATTGACAAAAATAAAATGTTTTAATAATATTCGTGTTTTTATAACAATTTAATAAGTTTAATATGGAGAATGTTTTTTAAAGGCAAACAAAAAAGGAGTATAAAAATGAAGCGGCAAAAAATAGAAGTGAGCACGAAAAATTAAAGCGATGCACAACAAAAGCGCCGACGCTTCTGCATTTCTCCCCGCTTTCTCCAGCTTTCTCCTGCTTTCTTCCAGCTTGTACGTGTGTGCGCACATGTGTGAGTGTGACATATGGAGCGGAATAGAAAATAAGCGCACGTCAACTGCATGACACAAACACAGAGAAATACACGACGCGACAAAGCCGAAAAAAATGTGAAAAACAACAAGGGGGGGGAAGAAATATAAAAGGAAGTGAGGTGCAAAAAGGATTAGAGGGAGAAAAGGAAGTGAATCCTGTAGGAGAGTGTATAAAAATGGCGTAAAGGCGTGGAACATATTTATATTTTTGGCGCACTCGAGATGGAAAGGCGAGAGACAATAACCACTACAATTGCGAATAAAATACACAGGGCGACAAAATATTTGTTAATTTTTGAACGAAAAATGAAAAGGGCTAGAAATTGTTCAAAACAGTGATTGTTATTTATTAGATACAATTTTATCAACTGAAATAAGTTCAATATGAAATCTTTTTAAAAAGTTTTAGTTTACTAACAATATTTAATGGGATAAAGAGTTTGCCCCAAAACCAAAGATCAAAAGATATGGCATTTTAAGACTTTAGTTTAAAAACTGTGTATTTATTGTTGCAAAGTAAAAGTAAAAGACAACACTGCGTATTAGTGATGTATGCTCAGATGCATATAACTCATACGCAGTGTGAAATTCAATTCAACGATTCAGGCGTGCTGAAAACGTATCGCAAATGAATTATTAAAGAAATTAAAAGCTTGACACATTTCAAATTTAAATAAAGTATCAATGTGTGTAATTTTTCTTTAAGTGTGTCTACCCACTAAGCTTTTTTTTTGTTTGGCCTCTGCACCTTTTATTTGCCAACTTGTTTTGTACATTATTTTGCTTGCCCAGTTATTATCATTTGTGCGAGAGGCGGCTGTCACCTGAACAAGGATATGGAGAATGTCTGGGACTTGGAGCGGCTTTTCCCCCCGAATTTTCCCTGTCCATCAACTGCCATTTCAGGAAAATGCGGGCCTTTGTCTGTGTGTGTTTGTTCGTGTGTGCTCCTAGTTGTTGCTTCTGTTTGCCGTCGTTTTGTTTTTGTTTTCATTTTGCTTGGCTGGTTTGTTTGTTTGCTTTGCCGCCTGTCCTCGTTGGCTCGTTGAATCTGCCACAGCCCCCCATTTTCCACCCCATTTTCCGCACCATTTTCCACCCCCCTCTGCGACCATGTCAGGACTTTGCCAACATTGCATACTTCAAGGGGCCAGTCGAAATGATTATACAGCATTCTGCAGGACATGAAGATCCTTGGCGGCCCACGAAACAGGACCTGCACAAACGATGGTTCATCAGGTTGATTTAAAAAAAAAAAATATTTGTGGCCGATTATAAAGTTTTTCACATAGGTTTATATTATTTTCGGTTTTTGCGAAAATTGGGCAAAACTTAAAATTATCAGCTATGAAATTAAATTACTGTTTAAGGCATTTAAACAGCAATCACTATATATTATAATATTACTTGTTTATAGGAAACAAATAGGAGTAAAATTGGACATGTTTTTAGGTCCAAAATTTGCAAATTGTACCTACCTAGGAATAATTTTGGGTCGTTCGCTCAAAAGGTTAAAAATGCTAATTGAATTTCCCAAGAAATTTCAACATATGTTATTTATGATCCAAATGAATCATTGAAAACACTGGATTCCCGATTATGAAAAGCCCAGTAGATAAGGTCTATGAATATATTGCAAAAAAAAATGTACAAATAAATTAAAATAAATTAGTCCATATACATATTTGGTGATTTGGGTTTTTACCAATTGTTGGACGACGGATGAGAGATTGGGATTATGCACGTAAAACGAATAATTTTGGGTCGTTAATCAAAAGATCAGAAATGCTCTTTAAAATTCCCCTGATTCAGCAATTGTATTCTTATCATCCGAATGAGTCATTTTAATTGGGATGGCTCAGTTCTAGAAATTCTTGTAGACGGTGTTTATCAATACATTTGCGAAGCCAAAGATCAGTGTTAATTTAGAACATTATCTCATTTATATTTATATGCTAGTACATACATACACATATTTGGTGATTTGGTTTTTTTTTCAATTGCTGGCCGCCGGATGCGAGATTGGGATTATGCACGATTAAAACGAATAATTTTGGGTCGTTAATCAAAAGATCAGAAATGCTCTTTAAAATTCCCCTGATTCAGCAATTGTATTCTTATCATCCGAATGAGTCATTGGAATTGGGATGGCTCAGTTCTAGAAATTCTAGTGGACGGTGTTTATCAATACATTTGCGAAGCCAAAGATCAGTGTTAATTTAGAACATTATCTTATTTATATTATATGCTAGTACATACATACACATATTTGGTGATTTGGGTTTTTTTCAATTGTTGGACGACGGATAGAGATTAGGAAGGCCACTTACTATTTTCTAATATTTTAGGCTTCGTTGTTTCTTCAACTAATAGCTACATTTCAGTATATTTTTTAAATTCGTTTCGAGTAGGTCGAACAACTTAAGATGTTGAGACTATTATCCTATTTGCTTGGCTTATTAATTTTTCCAAGTGTACAAGGAGGAACATTGATCAATATGGCAATGATGTCCCAAATGACGAACCAACTTCGGGAACTTGGGGAAACACTGGAGGGCCAGCACACTGGGCTCCAGGAATCCGTGAGCAAGATCATCACAAAAGAAGACTTCGCGAATTCAATTAAGGCTCTGCAGTACAAGCTGGATGTGGGATTAAACAGAATGGAGGAACTTAGGACGGTGAGTTACTTATAGACAGACATCCTTTCGTGTTCCTGTCAATATATGTAAATTGCATCTAAAGAAAACAAAAATATATGAGTTTTTTTTAGCCCATTAAATAAAACTGCACTGCAATCATGCAATTGCTTTGTGTAGAGCTCTATTAGGTAATATTCAAATTTCTTTCCTTGCATTATTTTAGTTTCGAATTGACGCTGCCATTTCTCAGCGTATTTAGAAGTTGTTCGATTTTTTTTGGTGTAAGCTCAATTTAGATTCACTACAGTAATCAACTTATTAGAATATTGAAAACGAATGCAATGATTATTATTTTATCACCCATTCCAAATCATTTTGTACAGATGAAAATAGCAGCCGATGCGAACGATGAACTTAAAACCCAAGTAACTACTTTGAAAGATACAATAAAAGACTTGCAAAGTCAGTTAAAAATATCCGAAGGTCAAACCAAAAGCAAAGAAGATATTTTAAAGGTGAAAGAGGCGCACCTTAAAAATAGAGATGAACAAATCGCGGACCTAAGGACTCAAATTAAAGCGATTGAGAAAACCAAATCAGAACTATCTAGTCAGCTTTCGGAATTAAGGAAAATTGATGACAAGTTAAAAATATCCGAAGGCCAAACCAAATTAAAAGAAGATATTTTAAAAGTGAAAGAGGAGCAAATCAAAAGCCAGCAAAAAGACCTTACAAATAAAGATAAACAAATCTCTGATCTTACGACTCAAATTAAAGCTATTGAGAAAACAAAATCAGAACTATATAGTCAGCTTTCGGAATACCAAATAAAACTTAGGGAGATGGAACCGTTTAAAGTGTCATGTGAGTCTTCTCCACCTGGTTGGACTGTAATTCAGAGACGCATCGACGGATCCGAGAACTTCAATAGAACCTGGAATGACTATAAATCTGGATTTGGGAATGTCAGTGGAGAATTCTTCATCGGACTGGAAAAATTGCATCGGATGACTGAGGCACGACCCCACGAACTCTTCATTAAACTTGGGATGGTTAATGGATCCACCAGCTACGCTCATTATGATGACTTTAAGATTGGAAGTGAGGAGGAAGTGTACGAGTTGAAGAATCTAGGGAAATATTCTGGTGAAGCCGGAGACTCACTCACATACCATAAGAACAAAATGTTCTCTTCATTTGATCGGGATAATGACAATTGGAAGGAAGGAAATTGTGCCTCTAAATTCGGTGCATGGTGGCACAATAACTGTTCATTCAGGTATACCTGTTTATTTATGCTCTGCTTAAATCATCCTACTATAATCACTTTAAATTACAGTTCGCTCAATGGAAAATACTTGAAAGAAGGCAAAGGTTATGGTGGAATTAATTGGGGCTCATGGCATAACGACGACTGGCAGATATCACTAACGTTCACTGAAATAATGATAAGACCCAAGTCCTTATGAGTCGCACTGTTTAAGTATCAAATATGTGATTATTAATACAAGCTAATAAATCTATACTGTATTCTTGATGGCGTCTGGTATTAATTTGTTTTCATTTGGTGAAATGGGAGATTAATAAATCGAAGTGATTGAGATTATTTTACAACTGATCTGCGTATTTAAGTAACATAAATAGGGATAAGTGGAGAGGGTTGGTAAGCCATTTGTAGACTGTTTTAATTAAATTAAAATCGGACAACAATATCATATAGCTACCATATAAAACGATGGCAAAATGCAGCGCAAAATCGACACAGCTTCATTGTCTTCAGTAATATAGGCATAGAATGTAATAACTGCAAGGGTAAAGTAAACATATATTTATTAATCTTTTTGACCTTCATTTTCATAACTTTCAGTTAAGGTCAATGGATCATCATACTAAAAGCAAAATCATTATGTTCAGTGTAATAAATAATAATTAAGCTATGAACCTTAATAAATGTTTATTTTATTTACGTTTCACATTTTCAGAATGTCTGTGGAAAATTTTGTGTAAGTGGCAGGCATTATTATTTATTTATCGAGTGCAATCAGGCTGTCAATCGGCAATGCACTAACATCAAACTCAAATCTTTAACTGCATTTTTACATCACTTAAAATTTTTTAAAATTAGTAAAGTACTGGTTAAATTATGCATTGCGTGAAATGTATTAAACATTTGAGTGTTCCGTTTTCCATTTAAAAATGCTGGCAGTGCGAAAGCCTTTTGCTTAACTTTTGCTTAAAGATCCTTAAAGTGGATGGCTCTTTCCATCCCTTTTGGCCTGCGGAAGGGAATTAATTCCTGTGCATATATCTCAAGGCCTTAACACATTTTTCACCAAATCTTGTTAGTTTGGGCTGGAGCTCGCTGGATTGGGGGGCGCGCCCAAATGGGGGGGCGTGGCGAGCGGAGGCGCGTCAACATGATTAACGCTTTATTATGAAAATGTGTGCGAGTCGGCTGTCTGTATATGCACATACTCGTATATCCTGGCACATCCTGGCGCCAGCCGCTTTTTTCCCCGTTTGTTTTTCTTTGCTCCATTCCCACTTGGCGCTGGAATAAATGTGAATACTTTTTTATAATTAATTGACACATGTGTGCAGTGGCTCCTTTATCCTTTATCCTCGGGTTAAACTGCACAAATAATTAAACTAAAGGCGTCTGCTCAGCAACGGAAATCGCTGTCAATTCATTTTGCCGCATTTTAAATGCTCGAAAGTAATTTAAAAAAAAAAACCAAAAAAAAACAACACCCACAAAAAACAAAAAAGGAACGCCCAAAATAACGAACTATATACAAGGATCGAAGGGATATCGATGGGATGGCTGGAAAATTTATTGTTTTTGCCATTAGCGCTGCGCAAATGCGTGGAAAGTCGGAAAAGCGAAGGTGGAAAAGTGGCAAGGAAGGGTCTTTTGCCAGAATTGATGTCGATGAGTTTTCGTTAATGTGCGAATATTTATTAAAAGGAATTGGCGTCGGGCAGAAAACCCCACCGAATGGCCACAGAAGTGATCGTTGTGGGTTAATTGAAATACGTCAGAAGGGGTTAGCAAATTTAAGTATAAAGTGGAAAATAAAATCAAAAACTAAATTAAGAAAAACATAAGGAAAAACAATAACAATAAATGTTGGCACTTCTTCAATAGTTTTTGATGTTAATTAAACGGTTTAAATTAAATAATTTCTTTGATTTAAAATAAACATATTATAAATAAAATAATTAAGATTGCAGTATGTATGATAATTTTTCTTTAAATTTTTATAATTAGGAAACACTTAAATATAACATTAAAAAACAATTTTCATAATCTACTGTATGTTTAATTCAATCATGTATCATTTAAAATCTATTGGAAAATGGAAATGATATCATTGTTTTAAAAATAGTAATCATAAAAATCAAAGAATATAGTTGTAGCAACATTTTAAATAGCAAGGGCATTAATGTAATCATTTTTTGTTTCATTGGTGCAACTGAACTTTTTCGCTGTATTTTTTCCCCCATTTTATAGAGTCTGCCTGGGATTAATATTTTTGTTCGTATTTGTGTATAAATTTGTTCGCCCAACTCTTTGGCGGCTGCTCATTAGCCGCTTGTCCAGTTTGCTCATTTGCCTGGCCATTAACCGGCTTCAACTTCAACTGCACTCCGGTTGGCCCCTTCGAAACCCTTAACCCTTTGACGCCCCTAGCTGACCCAAAAACTTTTGCCACTTGCTGGCCATTGTTGTCGTTTTAAAAATCCAGAATGAGTGTGAAAGAGTGCCGAGAACGGCGGCAAATATCGGGCGAAACTGCAGCAATTAAATACTGGGCGTGCGAAAACTTTAAGGCGGTGGCTACACAGTAGATAAAACTATATAACAAAACTATATAACATAATTAAATTAAAATATAAATATATGATTAATTTTAAAACTTTATTGCTTGTATTCTTTAAAAAAATAGTGGATTTTTATAGTACATATTTGGCTTTAAAATAAGATAATTTGACATTTATCGATTATTAATTGCAAATATTTCGAGTGAGTACTTGATTTGGAAAAACGCATTTTCCAGTGCCTTCGCCTTCAGTTTGAGTTGAGGTGAGTTGACCAACAGCCGTGGAAGTTCGTTGGCGGCGACAATCAATTTACCTGACGCCACTGGAGAAGTGGGCGTGGCGGGCGGCTCTTCGCCGCGTGAGTGGGCGGGGGCGGGGGCAAAAGGTCACCTCGCTGGTCCCTCCATCGCCTGATAAATGAGAAAAGTTTTTAACGCCGCTCGCTCAGGTCGGCTCATTGGCATTTTTACGATGTCCCTGTGGATGGGAAATGGTGGCAGGGGGGGAAATGGAGGCTGGGGGGAAATGGAGGCTGGGGAAAATGGAGACGGGGGAAAAGCAAGGGAGCCATGGACAAATAGGCAACAAATGAGACGAGCCTGGGATGCCTAATAGAAAAACTAAAGCGTATGGGAGGAAGCAGCACGGGAAAGCATGGGGAAAATGAAAGGGTGCAGGAGGGTTGGGAAAATCGGGCGGAAAAGCTTCTGACAGTGGGTGGTGGCTGGTCGAGCGGGGCACTTAAAACTTTCTAGCATGCAACCGCGAAACGTTGCAGCTGGCAAACTTTTTTTGGGTAACCCCTCCCCCCCTACCGCCCATCACCGAAAAAAAAGGGAAAAAACCGAACCCAACCCAAAAATGTTGTGTGTGAGGAAGGGCGTTGTAAAAGGTGGTCCCCAGTGGGTTGTCCCTGGTCATGACCAAAGCCTGTCAGCAATTAAAAGTGCAGTGCCTTTTATCGGCGACATTAAAAACACTCTACCGGCAAATATGTTTTCTTGATTCCCACGCGATTTTAAGCATCAAACACCAAGAACAATAATTTATAACCAGCTAGTATTTATTTGGCATTTGTTTTTGTATTTTTATTCATTTAGCTAAAAAAGATATAAAAACATATATAAATAAAAAAGGGTTTCATTAGGATTGTTGGATAAATTTATATTCAAAGAATTACAACTAATCGAACGCAGTTTATTTTCAAAGGTAATAGGGTAACCATAAATTAATGCTTTATACTTGTTTAAGTGGTAATCTTTAAGAAAAATAAAATAAATATATATCTTCGATGATATTCTATATTTCATTTAGGCTGTTGTTGAGAGTTCCATCAAGTTGTTGTCAAATTGCACTGGGACTTCAGGGCTATGTAAAATGGTGTAGGGCCACCGACAACTGACGATAAGTGCCGCAGGGTTGTCGTTAGATGTCTCCCAACTGCGGCAACCCTAACAAACCCCCCTCAAAAAAATCAAAAAAAAAAACTGAATAATATAGAGGGGGGGATGGAAAGCCTCTGACTTTTGACCGCGGACAGCAAAAGCGTGACAAAAAGCGTGTCCGAACTTTATTTTCCCTTTTTATTTTTTGAACTACAGAAGGAGTGGTTCTGTGGCGCAGAGGAGCTGCGGTCTTTTGTGGCGGGTTTTGTGTCTGCTAACAAATTTCAATAAATTTCAGTTACATTTGGCAAACTCAGGCGGAGCGGCCTTGGGTGGGTGGGCATTCACCACCCCCCCCAGCACCTAATGGCCGTCCCCCTCTTTCACCCTTCGCTTAACCCTTTCCCCCGATTTTCCCTTTGTGTCTGCGACTGGCGACTGCATAATTCAATTTGTGTTAAAGTTTTGCGAGTGCAAGGTGGAGAGTTTTTTAGAACCCCCATTTTTTCACAACCCCCTTATTACTCAACACAACCACCGCCCATCCAATGACCACCACCAACACACTCCCCCTATTTTTACGCCAAAAAAGACCAACTAATGCGACACATTGTTCAAACCAAAGCTGGAAATTCGTGGGTTTTGTGAGGGGGAAATGGTTAAATGACCAAATGACCAGGATGTTTGCCAGCAAGGGGTTAAGGGGTCAAGGGGCACGTGGGCTGACACTCACAAGCGGAAACCATGATTATAATTGGTTTCGGAATGCCAGCAAGAGATTCCAAATCCGAAGTTAATGGTTACCGCCATTTGACTGATATTTTTAAACCATAAATTATAATGAACTGTAAATAAATAAAATAAATAACTTGAAAATATATACAACACAAAAGCTCTATATGATACTCAAAAAAGGAATGAATTTAAACACTAGGATTTTTATTATAAAAATAAATAAGATAACAAAGTCCCAAGCCCAATAATACTTTTTGAAATTCACAATTTTATGATTGTTTGTTTATTGTTGGTCTTAAAAAGAAATTTTAATTGTTTTTTATTTGTTTATTTTAAAGTCACACATTTAATTGCAGTTAGTTAAAATATTGTATTATACGTTTCTACAAAACACGATCATGACAAAGTCCCCCTACATAAATTCTCATTTTTGTAAAAATTAAACTATTCTTTGGTCCGCGCCTTGACCCAACCTTAACCCCCTTCGTCCCCTCATCCATTTCGTGCGCTTGTATCTTGGTGCA